TCTTAAAACTAACATTAAGTAAGAAGATAGGCCTATATTGTTGAATTTTCATGGCCTCATCACACTTAGGCAAAAGAATAATAGTACCAAAGTTAAGGGAGAATAAAGGCAAAGTACCATTATGAAAATATCTGAAAAGATCCAACATATCATCCTTAATGACATCCCAAAAGACCTGATAAAACTCAGCAGGAAATCCATCAGGACTCGGAGCTTTATTATGTTCCATTTGGAAAATAGCCTCTTTAATTTCTTTTCAGTGAATTCTTGTATTAAAGCTTCATTCTCTAATTGAGATACTTGTGGGATATCCACAAAATTATTTTCATCAAACTGGAGATCAGAATCATCAGGAAGACCAAAGAGGCCTTTATAATAAGTGGTAATATGTGATTTTAGATTTGCATCACCATTTATCAATTGATCCCCATCTTGAAGTTGAAAAATTCTGGTTTTTTTATGTTTGCCGTTAGCAACCAAATGAAAATACTTTGTATTTGAATCACCCTCCAAAATATCCTTAGTTTTAGCCCTTTAATACCACTTAATTTCTTCTTCTCTCATAAGAGTAGATAATCTATTCCTACAAAACCATCTAAAATCAATTTCCTCCTGAGTTAGAAGAATAGATTCAGCCTTTTTATCCAACAAATCCAACCTATCCAAAATCTCCCTTTTTTGTTTTTTATACATACCACTTGTATGTTTATCCCATCTGTTATGGTTATGGATACCACATACCTAATAGTAGTTGACTAAATCTCGGCAGGACCCACCACATACCATGTCCTATACGGAAACAACCTACGGATATAGGAGGGAGTTCCGGATAAGGAAAGACAACCAGAGTTCTACATTGAAACGACAAGGACTACTCGGATTGTATCCATATTGGTTTCCCTAGTTCTACTCGGACAAGGGGACACCTATGGGTATAAATACAAGCCCCCCTAGGAGGACAGGGGAGAGGAACCACCATGGAAGACACCCATGACAATCAACATACACCCACCAGAAGCCACAACATACAAGCCTACATACGCCAAGACACGCCGCTGGATATCGACTTCAGGGATAGGCATGGCTATTCCCCTACGGTGTCTCCGGATACCGTCAGGAGAGACGAAAGCACTATCTCTGACCTCGCCGGGCACGGATTCGAGGAGGAAGGCTACCCTGTTGTCGACTACGAGTCAGATCTTCAGACCGACATGTCGACAACAGTTAGATAGGCTACCCCACATATTGTACTGGTGTGATTATGGTGAATAAAAGCAACTCCGACTCCGGCCAACAGGATGTAGGGTTATTACCTGACAACTCAGGGGTCCGAACCTGTATAAAAATCCCTGTCTCCATCTCTTTTACCTCAGTCTCGCGTATATCCTAGCACCAACGATCCCCATACTGTCCAAATACCGTAGTCGTGACATCAAACGTCGACACCATCCTCTCAAATGCCGTCTTAATCGGCGAATCTTCGCCTGCCATTGCTCCATAGGAGTATTACCCTCATGTACACTAGACCAGACCTCCTTTACCATATCTACAAAGCCATCACGTAATAACCAACCAAGTTCGAATTTAAAACTATGTTGTGCATTACCTGAAGAGGTGGAGTTTGTATTTAAAAGAAGTGGAGTATGATCCGAAATATCTCTATTAAGAGCAACCACCGAGGATAAAGGAAATTTATGTTCCCACTCAGTGGACATCAAAATCCTATCAAGTTTCTCATAAGTTGGATTTGCTAAGTTATTTGCCCAAGTATAAATCCTACCTGACATTTGTAACTCCCTAAGACACAGTCCCTCAATAATAGCATTAAAAAGAAAGGGCCATCTATCATCGTAACTGTCATTATTTTTTTCATCAGGGCTACGTAAAATATTAAAATCACCACCAATGAGAATTGGTAGGGATTCATGACTGCACAAATTAACTAATTCAGCAAGAAATTGATCCTTAAGTTCATTTTGTGCCGGTCCATAAACTAAAACTAAAGCCCACTTGAACTTATCAACTTTGTTACATAATTGGAACTTAATATAAAAATCACCTTCATCAATTAAACCAATATCAACGTTTAGTAAATTGATGCCTAACAGAAGACCCCCAGACCTACCTCTGGGAGGTTTACAATGCCACAAAAACTCCTTACCAGCACAAAGATTTTTAAGTGCAGCTGGAGTAAATTCTTTCTTAACCGTCTCAGACAATGCTATAAAGTCAAGCTGATGTTCCTTGGTCAAGTCAGAAATAAACTTATGTTTTTTTGGGTCCTTAAACCCATCACAATTCCAAAAGATTCCCTTCATTTGAAACTATTTTTATTATTTTTCTTATTTTTCCCCCTTTTACTCTTTTTCTTAGAGTTAGGAGAAGATGCCATAGGATTTAAAGTGTTTTTAAGACTATTCTCACAGTCCTCGCTAAAATCCATGACCTCTTCCATAATTTCACTACATAAATGTTGTAGTAAAAAATTATCCTCCAACTGGTCATCTAATGACTCAGTATCAACATTAGGGGTACAAACTTGATTAATAGAAGAACAAGCACATCCGCTTATCCTATTATTTTCTACACATTTCAAATCATTAATTACATCATCTAAAACAACATTTTTACTAGAAGGTATAACACCAAGATTATGAAGATGTGCAGATATTTGATCATTTGAAAATTGTGTAAAAGAAACATTATTAACTGAATTACCTTTAGCCTGCAGGTTCTCCAAGTTCTTATCAGCCTTCAACTTTTCGGCCCTTTCAAGAACAAGCTAATCGCTATCACTTGCCCTTCTCTTACTCTTCCTTGATGGAGAGATTACTGCCTCAGGGATAGCAGAGAGCTTTGCCACAAGACTTTCCTGAATCTGGGCCTTGTCAACCATTATAGTCTCCTCATCTAAACCATCAAATTCTTCATCAGAAACAGTCAAGTCATCAGATTCAGGTATCAGATTTAGCTGAGAAGAGGGAGCAGAAGGACCACCCCTCTCACTAAATTGACCACCAGAACCCATCTTAGAGCTGTTACCTGAATCAAATAAACCAGCCCCCTTCCCCAGATCCTGATTCATGTTCCCCTCTTTTTTCTTTTCCAAATCCCCATCATCCAAATTCTCCATCTCCATAGGCACAGGCTCCTCAGGCCTATTTTCAGGTTCTACTCTAAAAGACAGCTCATACAAGTGATCACCAATAACCACATCCACCACATCAGGAATCAGAGACGGGTCAAGAACCAAAACTTGTAAGCGAGCTATATCATACCTTCTAGTAAATATCATATCAACAGCTTTAGTAATTCCAAGGATGGAACCAACAGCCCAAATGATTAAATACTCTCTCAATTCAGAAGGAAGACCTTTGCACTGTACCCACACTTTTGGCATCACATATTTCACCTCATTCCCAACTCCCCTTTCCACAATCTCCATTTCAGCCTCACCAACTTTAGTGTGTATCTTGCCCTATTCGACCATACGACTTAATTCAGCTGCAGAAGGAAAAATAGTATGAAAAGTCCCATCACCATTATCATGCACCACCCACTTCCATCTACCAGGTATTAACCTCTCCAACTCAGAAATAATAGAACTTACAGACATATGTCCTTTAGTGACCTTAACCAAAGCCGCTTTAGGCTCATGCTTAACCCTCATTCCAGCTGAAAGAGGTATATGGAAGAAACCCAAACCATCTCCAGCATAACCACATAACTGAGCAACAGGTTTAACCCTTGGTTATTTGCCTTGGTATAATATTTTCCACAGTAGTCTGCCAAGGTTGTGGATTGGTGTGACTACTGACTCTTATTTTTTTCACCTTTGTGATGATTCTTCTTCTTCATGTGGCACATTGGAATTTACAACCAAGTGAAGCAATCTACAATTTCGTCTATGAATTGATCCTGGCATTTCGCTAACTATATTCTACACGACGACAATAACTAACTCTAGCTCTCTAAGCAAGAGCGACTTGTGCCAACGATCACAGTGTCATCTTGACCGCTGCTGAAGCCTCGTGATCCGTGCGCGCTCTCTCTAGGAAGCTATCTTTGATCACAGCAATTTTCAGTGGTTGATTTTCGGTTCTGGATTGCTTGACATTGATCATACTACTACATTCACAACATGCACATTTCACGAAATAGTGCGGCCAAGTAGCAGTATCATTCACCACAAGAAAGAATCCAATAATACGAATACGAATTATAATACAAGCATCACAATCGCAGTTCACCGATGATAGCTGTCTCTGCAACGTGCTGTTGAGAAAATTAATGAGTTGATACTGATACAAGAAAAACAAGTGAAATCAGTAGCAGAAATTAATACTGACGAGCCCCGGTTGCGACAGCACAGCGTCTATTGCCAGTGCAGGCGCAATTTAGCCAAAAGGGATTTTCAGAGACAAGATATCAGAAATCAGAACTTCTGAGGAAGTCAATACAGTATAACATATGCTGCTCATGTTCTCCCAACAACTCACCTCTTCGAAACGCTCTGCTCTTGAATCTTGATTTCAGTAACTTTCTTGGATCACGGAGATATTGGACAGAAACAATTGAGCATGATATCTATATCTAGCAGTAGTAGGTCGGTTTCACATACAGAAACATGTAGTGCTAATTATCATTCATACACATCTCATTCTTGTGTACCATATGCAGACAGAACATTCCCCATCAAAGTTACTGGGTACTGAAAGAAACAAACTATGTCAACAGCTATCTTCATCATGCAAACTAGTAACTAAAGGCCTTCATGCCAAACACCAGTGATGTTAACAATCTTATGTCAAATGGAACATCATAATGCTCAGAAGAATCCGCCTGTCTGATCATCAATAAGAAAATAAGCTTGTGGAAGCGATTCATCTATATAGAATCACTGAACCAGTACTCTGTACTAAGCCACAGTTGTGAAAGAAAACAGGAAGATGTATAGTTTTTTTAATGGAGGAAGATATATAGTTGGAACAGAAAGGACATCCATGGGAATTCAGACTTGTACTATCCAGATCAAAATTGCTACTGCTAATTCCAAAGAATGATCACCCACATGATTATCATGAATGCGCTATGACATAACACAACATTAAACAATCCATAAATATAAATTTGTTGCATAGTCAACAGCGTATAAGACTAACCTAGGTGAAGAATTAAGTAATAATAGAACACGGTTGAAAAGACACACCATGCAGAAAGCATGATCACTGCAGTGTCAATTCATAAAAGAGTTCATGCAGAGAAATTTTGCAACTTCCGCAAGCGCTTCGCGGCTGAGGAAGGCTTCTTCAAGACCTTCTTTGCAGATTTCGCTTTTGGCTTAGTCTTCTTCACAGGCGTAGGCGTTTCTTTTATAGGCCCAGGCAGAACACCCTTTTTTAGTGCACTCCCTCTTGGAGTAGCAGATGGTGGCAGCCTCAAGCACTGCGGCGGCAAAGGATTGTGAGGCTTCCAAACTAGATTATTCTTCATCGAGAACCTCACTTTCTTACCGCTCTTCTCCCCATCCTGGGAAATAATTGTACCTTCGCTGCTAACATCGTCTCCATCAGAAACCGATAACCTATCTGCAGATTTTGCTCTCTTCCTTTTCTTTGCAGCTTTCCCACTAGCGGGCAAAGCACTTGAGCTGCTGCCTCCATTGACCATACCAGCTTCTGCTGCAGCCTTCTCAAACTGCTTCTGGAGATTGGACATCAATGTCTCATCAAATGTAACAGCCTCAGTACCATCACCCATCTGTTGGTCCTCCTCTGCAGGAGCGTCTGTACTCTGTTCCGTGACATCTCCCTCATCAACAACCTCTACCTTCTTCTTTTTCTTCTTCTCTTTCTTCTCCTTCTTGACCTTTTTCTCTTGCTTTGAATCCTTGGCCCCCTCTGTCTCACCTTCCACCAATGAAGCTTTCTTCGCCTTTTTCTTCTTCTTCTTCTCCACCTTCACCTCATCCAAATCCATGCCATTCTCCACCCCTGTCACCTCGGTACTCTTGAACTCTGGCACAGCAATCTCGACCCCAGAGAGCTCCAATCCTTTCTCAACCTTCACAAACGCATCCCTCAGCCCAAATAGCACCTTTCGGTTTGCTTGCACGGTCTCCGCCTTCGCCCCAATATCTGAGAACCTCTTGCTGAACCCAAACAGCAAGCCAACCTTCCCAATCTTCTCGTCTGCGCTCCCCTTCTCCACCCCCTCGCCTTTCTTCGCCATCTCGAGCAATTGTTTGCCGCTCTCGAGGAACCTCTCAAACACACTAGACTTAACCTTAGCCACCATCACCCTATCAGATGACTTCTCCAACACAGCGAAGAAAGGAGATAGCAACACCTCCATTGTCTGTAAGCTCACAGGGAGCACAGGCGACAGCTCGTCCAGAAACACCTCGGCGACATGGTACCCAAGCCCACGGGGCGAGCCGGCGGCGACGTTGTCGGCCTCGGGAAGGAGTACCTTCTCCGACAGGATCGATACGACCTGGGAGGTGAGGTCGGCGGCGAAGGAGTTGGCGGCGAGGAGGAGGAAGGCGTGGTGGAGGAACCTGCGGTTGAGGAGGTAGAACTTGTCGAGGCGGTGGGTGTCGATGTGGACCCACTCGCGGCGGAGGGTGGCGAGGTAGGCGGCGAAGAAGGCGGCGGCGGCGGCCGGCGAGGGGCCCGAGGAGACGCCGGCGGCGAGGCGGGTGGCGAGGGAGGACTGGTAGAGCGGCTTGTCGGAGTGCCAGAAGCAGAAGAAGAGGCCCTTCCAGAGCTTGAGGAGGTCGGAGGCGGAGAGGTGCGGAGCCGAGGCCGGGAGGAAGGTGGAGAGGAGGTGCCGCACCGCGCGCTCCCGTGCGGAGCCGTTGCAGGAGGCCAGGCGCCGCGCGATGGCCGCGGCCTCGGCCGATGCGTCGGCGGCGGCGGCGGCGGCCATGGAGAAGATTTGGGGGAGGGAGAGGTGGAAACCCTAGCTGCTTGATCCGGGGAAGGGGATTCGTTGTTTGAAATGACTTTGCTCGATTTTTTTATATTTCTCCGGTTCGCGTCGCGTGAGTGGGGGCGGCGCCTGTGGCTGGATGCTCTGTATTTCAATCCAACGATCAGCTTTTGTCGGTTGCTGGTTGGAAAATGCTGTTACTGTTCATGGACCTTATTCCAATTTTGCATCACGCGCTGTAGATTTGATGATGGGCCGTATGCGGACACCAACTCAAGATTTCCGTGGGCCGTGGAAGGCCATGCGTCTTCACCGGCCGGCCCACAGGCCACAACTACCGGCCTGGAACAAGTTCGTCGCGCGATCCACTAATCAATCGCCAACAAAAACTCCAAACTTGTTCGAGGTAATATTCTTCAGCGAAAAACATTAAGATGTAACTATAATATAATTAAATTAAATTATAACTATACTATAATTACTACACGATAATTATAGTACTGTAACTGTGGTATAACTTATTTAAAACTTATATTCAACCATAATTTGGTTGGTTAGTACGTAGATGTTACGCGTGACATCTATCTATCTATATATCTAAAGCCGGCAGGTTTTATACAATCTGATTGGTCCATATGGTCGAGTAATTTGTTGACACGTGGAGCAACGATAATAAGACGGGCAACTTGTGAATTAAATCGTGCACGTAATCGTGCGGACGCGCCGGCAGGGTACCCTTCTCGATCTCTCCCGTAATACGTTTTTGCCTGGATGGCTGGGCCAAAATTCCATCGCACGCACAGCCAAAAAAATCCAAATTGGCCCATAACAGTGTGTGTGATGAAACAGCTACAGCAGTACAGCACTGTCTAGCAGTTTTGGATGCCATGCGTAATATTTTAATACAAAAGCTCAGCGAAATATAAGTATATTTACTTAGGCACATATAAGCTGTAACGTGAAATTTATTTCGACTTCATAGGTATCGATTATTATGAAATAAATTAATGTTTAAAGTGCAACTTCAATATCATTTTAAAAGCTACAATATGTATAAAAAGAGAGAGTACGCTCTACAAACATGTTAAAAAAAACTTTACATATAAAAAGGAATATGAATTATAAACAAATACATAAGGTGTTAAATTTTTTTTAATTACAAAACTTTTGCAGTTTTAGGAAAGTCAGGGAGAAAAATTCCGATAAATACGACATGAGACATGTTAGAATTAGAAATAGGTAACTTAACCCTATATATCCTTTGTGTCTAGAAAAGGTAGAATATTTAGTGGCAATTTTAAACACTATAAAAATTGTTTACTTCTAAATTCTACAAATTCTAACAGGTTATGTTTAAAACTCTTAAATTTAGAAGCGAGGCAGAATCTTTAGAAAAGAAAATAAATTTTTATATCCTTTAAAATATGATCTTCATCGATTCGTAGTGCATATAACTATGATTCTTTCACGACGTAAAAATAAATTTTTATATCCTTTAAAATATGATCTTCATCGATTCGTAGTGTATATAACTATAATTCTTCCACGACGTAAAAATAAAAATACTACTTATAAAGGTATAAGTATTATCATAATGCTAGAGAAAAATACAGGTTAGATTAGCAAGCGCACCAACGGGCGCGCTAATTTTCTAGTACAAATCTCAAGATGATCATATGGTCACAAATCTAAAAATTTTAGAGACATAAAAAAAAAACTTGCATAAGTTTTCTAGCAATTGAGCTTAACAAATGCCTTTGGCGTCGCTGTCGCGCTACTCTAATATCCTCGCGAGCTTTTGCCTACCGAATGCTTGCTAGCTAGCGGCCGGCAGTGGCAGCATGCAGCCAGCGCGAAGTACGACCGGATCGGATCGGACACACGACACGCGCGAGCGCCTCGGAGAAACCGATAGCTCTGCTTACCTTCCATCGCCACACGGCATTGGAAGCCTCGCATTGCAATCTTGCAGACTTGCAGCTGTTACGGCTGCGTACAGAGGACGAAGCGGCGGCGGCGGCGACGGCTTCGGCGGCGCGTCCGGTGATCATCGCCGTTGGATCGACCGACTGTTCTGCAAAGGTACGTACAGTAGGTACAAGATGACTTAACTACAGTTTTCTTTGAACTAAATAGATGAGTCTAGTATAGTGGTGAGAGGAAGTATTTTCTCCTCGACATGGCTGATCTGTGGTATTAGTTAGTTCATGGCGTTTTCTATCATGTTGTTTATTAGGTTCCTACCCTTAATTACTTCAGGCTTGAGTTAACCTGAAAACTAACATAGGATACATAAATGGATATATGAGATTTGTTCATGTCACAATGAGTAATTTTTTTAAGTAGTTTTCAGGTTTTTACTGTATTTTTTTTGTTTGGCATGTCACTGAGCATATGTGCAATTCACCTCTGCTTTGCTTGTACGGAGTACAGGCAACTAAGTAACTGGCACGAAAACATTTTAGAACAAGTTTCAGCTGAAAATGTTAGGTTTTGGGTGGATGAATGTGCAGAAATAGACAGCAACAATGGCGAACCCAAATGCGAGTGCGGTCTTCCTGGCCTTCATCGTGATTCTCATCATAGTCATCTTCATCCTACTTGGTATCTGCTGGAAGTTCCTCAGGCCAGATATCATGAGGAGATTGATGAGGCCAAAGAGGGCTCCGTCAGGTGAACCTATCATTCTCATCAAACCTGCTGATCAACAATAAAACACAAACTGCTCCATAATTTTTGTATAAAACTCTGCTGTTTCTCTTTCTGTCCATGTAACAGAGGTACCCGAGTATTTCAGCGGCAACATGAGCGGCAATCTGCGCACAATAACATACTTTGATTATGCAACACTGAAGAAGGCCACGAGGGATTTCCACCAGAAGAATCAGCTCGGGAGAGGAGGCTTTGGACCTGTTTATCTGGTACACTTTTTTCTGCCAAGAAACGCCACAAAACAATACTGAATCTGTATCAGTATCACCTACCATTCTACAGCAATTTCTGATTGCATTATGGTTGTTTGCAATGCTAATGTTCATTATCAGGGGAAACTAGACGATGGCAGGAAGGTTGCTGTGAAGCAGCTGAGCGTCGGCAAGTCAGGTCAGGGCGAGTCCGAGTTCTTCGTCGAGGTGAACATGATAACCAGCATCCAGCACAAGAACCTTGTTCGCCTTGTGGGCTGCTGCTCGGAGGGCCAGCAACGGCTGCTCGTCTACGAGTACATGAAGAACAAGAGCTTGGACAAGATACTGTTTGGTAAGCATTACATCCTGAACCTAAAAACTGTCAAGAACAAGCAAAAACATTGTTTACTTGATCCACATTTTTACACATCCATTAACTTTGCAGGTGTTGATGGTGCACCATTTCTGAACTGGAAGACGCGGCACCAGATCATCATCGGCATCGCGAGAGGCCTGCAGTACCTGCACGAGGAGTCCAACCTGAGGATTGTTCATCGCGACATCAAGGCGAGCAACATCCTCCTGGACGATAAGTTTCAGCCCAAGATCAGTGACTTTGGCTTGGCAAGATTCTTCCCCGAGGACCAGACATACCTCAGCACGGCATTTGCCGGCACACTGTAAGTACTGAAGAAAGTATAGTACTCAGCTCGCTTAACCCGTAGCTAGCTAGCTCTGAACACCTGAGCCATGACAAGGTTGTAAATTTTGTTTCTGAAGAACTTTGTGATCCATGGATTTTCAGAGGCTACACGGCGCCTGAATACGCCATCAGAGGGGAGCTCACAGTGAAAGCCGACACCTACAGCTTCGGAGTTCTCGTGCTCGAGATCGTCAGCAGCAGGAAGAACACGGATCTCTCTCTCCCGAACGAAATGCAGTACCTGCCTGAACATGTCTGAATCTTTTTTCTGAACCCAAACTCCACATTACTACGAGTTTACGACACTGTCACAAGAATCTCTCTCATTCTGAATCTTCTTCAGGCATGGAGGCTGTACGAGCAATCCAAGATACTGGAGCTGGTCGACGCGAAGCTGCAGGCCGACGGGTTCGACGAGAAGGAGGTGATGCAGGTGTGCCAGATCGCGCTGCTCTGCGTGCAGCCATTCCCGAACCTGAGGCCGGCGATGTCGGAGGTGGTGCTAATGCTCACCATGAAGACGACGGAGCAGTCCGTCATCCCCGCGCCGGTGAGGCCGGCGTTCCTGGACAGGAAGAGCCTCAAGGACAAGAACAACGGCGGCGGCTCGGACACGGCGGCGGAGATGAGGTCGACGGCGTACTGGCTCGGCACGCCGTCGCCGATGGTCGACAGGCCGTACGACATGAGCTGTGGCATATAAATGGTCGCACCCACGCATATATTGAAGTCGCCATTGGTGATGATGGAATGGTAAGAACTGTTTCGTCCTACAGCGAGATCGTGTCTCAGCAATACCTGCCATGGATGTTGCTGACTTGCTGGCAATCAAGCACAAATGCTATACATTATATGGTGCTTTTTTTGTTGCACAATAGTATTAGTTTTGTACAGAGTAGTACTACTACCAAATAAGAAGAGTGGGAAAAGGAAGGAGAGGCAAATTTGTATTGCTCATTCAAAAAAACTGCATTCTTCATGAATGACTAGGGACTGATAATTTGGGTTATCCGCTGCTATATTGTAATCTAAAGCTACTATCACCTTCTTGTTTAGATTAACCCAATAATGCATATATACATCCAATGGGATTATAAATATTGAGGGTAGAGGATTTTAGAAAAGAACTAATCCCTCCGTTCCAAAATATAAGGCACAACCACCCTTAACCCAAAGACAAAGAAACAATTATTATTATTTCCTAGTTTGGATCACCCTAATAAATGTAATGCATGCATCTAATAGAATTAGAAATCTTGAGGGTGGATGATTTAAAAAAGCAATAATTTAATGAAGAAGAGGTCCTAATTAATTGTATGCACGATTTTGCTAGATATTTGTCATCAAATTTCTCCCCCTAATATTTATCATATGTAATTATAGTAAAATCGTAGTGTAATTACACTGTAACTTGCATGTAATTACATTGTAACTTGTATGTAACTTTCAAGAATCTCTCGGTAACATGTTATTTCAGTAAAATAGAGGTCGTGGGAACAAATCTTTTCACATATGTGTGTGCTATGATTTTTTTCTTCCTCACCAGAACAAATCTACATACAAGTTACACTATAGTTACATGCAAGTTACAGTATAATTACATACAAGTTACAGTGTAATTACACTACGATTGTACTATAATTACATCTATTAAATTTTTAGTAGAAAATTTGTCGACAAATATATAGGTGGTCTCTTGTATGCATGCATGTCTGCCTTATATTATGGAACATCCAAAATAAAATAGTTATGCCTTATATTATGGAACGGAGGGAATAAAAGAGAGAGAAGGTCATAGTTAATACATGCGCTTCTTGTATTATAAACATTGGAAAAGGCGAATGTGTCTTATATTTTAGAATACAGTGAGTAAGATATTTTTTATTAAGCCCTCTTTAGCACAACTTCAGATATAAGATTTTATAAAACAGGGTATTCCTAACTCACAAATCTATACATATTACGTGTATATAACATTTGGATAAATCAAATTATTTTTATTTTAAATAAAAATTAAAATTTTAAACTACTCTGATATATTTTAACATACAAACTTCAAATCTACCGTAATCTGATATCTGGAGCTCGAAATGCTTAATGTTTCTCAGCGGAAGGAGTAGGACGAGGAATATTTTTTTAAGCTTTAAAAGTTGGGAGCAGCATTGTTGTTCATGATGTGATTGTGAAACGGTCAATACAAGCAGAGAAAGCTCCAAAATGATGGTTGGCATTTCCGATAATTTGAGTGAGCTACAAGGAAGGTTGACGACATGACAGATTTTGTAGTTTGAACACACTTGCATTGATGCATTCAACAACCATTAAAGAATTGAAATCATGGTCAAAATCATTCTCCCACTGGTTGCTGCCTCTATTTTTGGCCGGCCTTCACTGGTTCACCTATGCACTGCCCAAATTAACTCACCCTAGCGCCTCTATCTTCTCTCTAGGGCTGTGTTCTTCACCCATTTTCCCAATCCACCTCTCCCATTTTTCACGCGCACGTTTTTCAAACTATTAAATGATGTTATTTATACAAAAACTTTCTACATGAAAGTTATCTTAAAAAATCATATTAATCTATTTTTTAAAAAAAGTTAATACTTAAATAATCATGTAATAATACGAGCTTTGTTTTGCGTGCTGAGCTCCTTTCAGCTTAAAAATAATTATCGTTTTAAACAAAACTAATGTTAAACTTTTAAAACTCTCATTATAAATAACTTTTAAAGTATTTACTTTAAAAACATAGAAACAATTTGTATAATTGATTTTAAAAAAACTTTAACAAAATTGGATATTTATCTAATAGACTACTGACCAAAGTTGCTTTTGAGAATACCGTGCCGAAATATCCAGTATTCATTGCCTAGAGAGTAATGGAGGATGAAAAATATGTTCTCCACTGGTGGAGAAACTGTTTTTAGTCTCGGTTGATAACCCCCCTTTAGTCCCGGTTTTCCAACCGGGACTACGAATCCGGGACTAAAAATCGCTATCTTTAGTCCCGGTTTAAATAACCGGGACTAAAGATCAATCTTTAGTCCCGGTTGGTGTTACCAACCGGGAGTAAAGAGGGGTACCAACCGAGACTAAAGAGGGGAAGCGACAGTTCCTCGAGATTTTTTATTATTATTATTTTGTTGTTGATTTGCTAATGGCTAGTGTTAATCTATGTATTTTCTCCCGAATCGAATGAGATGCACATCCCAAATCAACATCACAAATCAAATACATCACAAATCCTAAAAACTACACACAAATTAAATACATCATAGATTATACAAATTATACATCTTAGATCCATGCGATGCAATGAATCACAAAATTATACATCCAGTGAAACACAACTTACAAAAAAAAGAAAAAGAAAAGAAACCAAGCCAGCGCCCGGCCGCCGCCTGCGCACAGCCGCCTGCCCGCGCGCGGCCGCGCCGCCGCCGCCCGGCCGATGGAAGACGGAGTAGAGGAGAGGAGGAGGAAGGAGAGGGGAGGAGAAGAGGAAGGGGGGAGGGGAGGAGGAAGAGGATTGGATCTGAGAAGAGCAAGAGAGGGGATGTTCCAATCTTACCTAAATATCTGTCTGGGACTTAACCGATCGGATGTGGGAGAGAAATATTTACTCCCGGTTGATAACTTCAACCGGGACTAAAGATCGATCTTTAGTCCCGGTTGGTAATACCAACTGGGAGTAAAGATCACTCGATCTTTAGTCCCGGTTGGTGAAGTGGTAATTTTTAGTCCCGATTGGTAGTATCAACCGGGACTAAAGATTCTCGACCCCCTGACATACATCTGACAGGGGATGAACCGGGACTACAAATCATCTTTAGTCCTGGTTGGTGTTACCAACCGGGACTAAAGATCAAAAGTTTTTAAACCGGGACTAAAAATCGTTTTTAGTCCCGGTTTTTAATGGAATCGAGACTATTGTGAAATTTGGTCGACCGACCAAAGATGGTTTCTCCACCAGTGCTCCCATCATGGATTTAAGTTCTTCATCAATATTATATATTTTTCTTTTAGCATTCTCGTTTTCCCCCAATCATTTGCCCTTGTTAAATAATATTACTGCCTCTCATAAATATAAGTAACACGTTGTTGTTACTCCCTTAGTCTAAAAAACATTTTTCACGCATCTAACACATACTGATAAAAAAGACTAGAATATACCTACTTTATTAAATTCCAAATGCAATTATTATCTATTTTATACACTTCCACTATAATTATTTTTTACTTTAATAAACCCTATACAATAATAAATGAACTTATTTTAAAATAAACGGAAGGAGAGAAAATTGAGTTTATTAGGAGACAGAGGGAGTAATTTTTATGTACTCCTATGTTGTGTTGAGAGGAAACAATATCTTACTGTACCAAACATCTCCATAATACTCGGGATTAGTTCGAAACACAACGGGACAATGTAGCACGGCAAAAGAGAGAAGAGCATCGACCGTACCTCTGGTTCCGATTTTTACCATTACAGGATAATCTAACGCCATTTATGGGCGTAGGCAGTAATTACTCCTCCTGTTTTAACGCTCCTGCCCTGAATCTTTCTTTTTATCGGAGACAAGGACTGGTTTGAAACTTTGAATCTGAGGGCCGCTTAAGATTTGACGATGATTTCTCTACTTCTACTTTCTTCGTCTCATAAAATACTAACTAAGATCATATACAACTGTATTTATTAGTGGTCTCTCTATATTGTCATGCAAGTAAATTTGATGATATGGAAGAAAGAGAAATGAGTATGGTTGTTATGCATGACAACGGCTCAAAGTCGACTCTTAGCATTTATTAGAGCAAATTTTGTTGCATGGTAGTGAAAAAAAGGAAAGAAGAGTAAGAAAAAGTATTTTGATATATTAATGATTAGAGACCATATTGTCTCTAACTGTTGTAGGATGCTAGTCTTTAGATAACGTAGCGCTCATATCTAACTCTACCTTTGTACATGCCCTAATATCGAATTAGACATATCCTAATACTACAAGTCTGAATAGAAGAGTATGAAAAGGTATTTTGATATATTAATAATTAGAGACCATATTGTCTCTAACTGTTGTAGGATGCTAGTCTCTAGATAACGTAGCGCTCATATCTAACTCTACCTTTATACATGCCCTAATATTGAATTAGACATATCCTAATACTATAATTCTAAATAGATATACTTTCAGATTTATAGTACTAAAGTATGTCATATCTGGACAAAATATAATTCATTATTAGTAGTACTATTCCAAGAAAAAAAACAAGGGGTGAAACAAATCTAGTTAAACACATTTTGTTGCTCGCCCCACTCCCATTAAAGACAGCGCTAGAGACCGAAGCATGGGGGCACTCACTCGCAGTCGCAGGGAGCAACGGCAAAAGGCAGAGGTCCAGCCAGCCAGCCAGCCAGCACTGCCGAGATGGCAATGCTACCGTATTGACTCACTGGCCACCCGGCCTCCCTCTCTACTGCAGCAAGCAGCTGATCCTGATATACCAGTGAGGATTGTCTACGGTAATGTTGGTGCAGTAACAAATACTATTGATTTATAGACATGAACTCGGATGTCAGCCGCTGCCAGGGTTTCTCAAACCGTTGGGGCCGGGGTTACCGCGCCCTGGCGGTAAGCACGGTTACCGCGCGGTAACCGTGGAAAATCATACAAAACCGTGTAAAATTTATCAAAAATTCAAATTATTTTTTAAATTTATTTAAATTTAAAGAGGTTACCGCGGTATTTATATTACCGTACCCCCGCGGTAAGCCTGGTAACCGCGCGGTTACCGGCGGTAAGGGAAACCGTGGCCCACTGCTACTGCATTGGCAGTTATGCGAAGGATCTATATCTTCTGATCTATATATACCACCTTCACTGAAAACCTCCTTTGCTTCCTCGTCTTGAATTTCTCTTATTGTTTTACTAATTAATCCGGTAATGAGGGTTACGGGTTATCATTATCTCACGGTGTAATGATATACTATACGGTAATAGCACGGTTACAACAAAAACTGTACGGTTACCATTAGAAATTGCGAGATTTTAAAAATGGAGAAGGTTACTACACGCCATTCACCTCACCGGTGGTACAGTAGAGAGACGAGCAGAGATAGAGAGCGGAGCGCTACTGCGCTAGTAGTTAAGACTCTCCTGAATAGCAGCTGCGAGAGGAAATCGTCAGTCGAAAATGCAGCGTAAAGTTTCCGTTTTCACATCATGATGTCCTCTGTAAAGTCTTTCCCGGCTTGCTTGCTGCATCCGTCCACCAATAATCTCTGAAACGCGTGTAGTATGTGTATGTATGTTGCTCAGACTTCAGATGTAAGCTGGGGAGAGGCTGGGACAGATATATATGCAGACATGTGCAATTGATGCGAGCAGCACTGCTGCATCAGCTTGCTGGCTTCAAGGATGGATGGATGGATACTGTTCGTACCCATGTAGGAGAAGGGTCCATGTCGATGAGATTCCTGAGCTGTTTGTTTGACACTGCACTGCACTTGGGGTGTGCTTAGTTCACGCAAAAATTGTAAGTTTGGTTGAGATTAAAATGATGTGATGAAAAAGTCTGGAAGTTTGTGTGTAGAAAAGTTTTGATGTGATGAAAAAGTTAAAAGTTTTAAAAAAAAATTTATAACTAAACAAGGCCTTGGTTAGCTAGCTACCTCCTCCAGCTAATTGGTGTTGTACTAGCACGTACTCGTCCTTGTATTTCTTGCCAAGTCCTTGCCAATTGTCATGCATCTGTCATTCTGTTGCAACTTATTCTTCTGTTTTTTACTAGTAAAAGATATCAGATATTTCATTAAAACAACAAAATAGCATTCCATCTCTGTCTCTACCATTTGATTTAGGCCCTATTTGTTTCAGCTTAAGATTATTATAATCTAGATTATTGAATCAGATTGCTATAAGTTGGATTATAATAAGCCAGCATAGAATAAGTTGTTAGCTGTTTGATTCTCTGGATTATTAGCTGTTAGTCACCCAATAATCTAGAAAATGCACATTTATAATGGATTATCAGATTATAGTAATCTAGCTTATAGATTATAATAATATATCATAATAAGCTATTTGTTTATTTCAGCTTACTCCTAATAATTTAGATTATCATAATTCTAAGCTGAATCAAACATGGACTTAGATTGTTCAATGGATTATTGCCATGGGTTATCTACTTAATTACAGGGATCGGTTAAATATTTTGAGAAATAAATGTACCAAATAGCTCAAAATAAGTGATATAATTAATAGAACATAAGATTTTTTTTATAAAAAAAATTAAGTGTTGAGCGAATAATCTATTTTAATAATCCAATAAATACGCTGAAAAGAACAACACCATAGAAAAAAATATATTTAAATATATGCTCCCTCCGTTATAAAATATAACAATTTAAAGTAGGATTAGACCCATTACACGGTTAAGCAAACCTAATTAACCAAGAACACACTCCTATCAACCTGCACAGCAAGCAGCTGTGACATCAATGCAACTCGTTGTCCGAGTGCTGTAGGAGGACAGCCTCTTGATGATACTCCGTGGGAATTAGGCTATTCCTAACCCAAGACACTATACATGGTTTTTATAAACTCCACATCATCACGAAACTAGTACGAAACTACTCTTCTAATGCAAACACCACTATTTCATACTTAAATTTAATGCTACTTATCTCACATGATGTCTTGGATATTGTGTAGAAACTATGTCTCATACAAGATATGGTTTCCTTCTCTTTACTCGTTTATTCAATTGCCACATTATTTTTCATTCTAGGTGACAGCTTATATAATGCTATGGACACCATCTAATTATTGGGTTGAGAATGCCCTTGGAGAGCCTCTGGCGAGCACCAAGGATGACAAAATAATTGCAACGGCGTCACATCGATCAAACACCTCCACTTCATCGATCGTTCACCAGATTAAGCCACTCAAATGTGACAGAAACGACGGATCATAAATTCATAATTCCCCGAACAGTCTCAACTAATCCCTGGAGGAAGAAGATTCAGTCTTGGCGTTGAGATATCAACAAACGCTGGGCTTCAGTGCTGACAAGAGATCGATGTGTGATAGAGATTTGTGTGGGCGATAGGGAGCAATTACTGGGCTGAAATAGTAGTCGCACATCTGGATTATCTGCCCACCAATCACATCCAACATTTATGAAACCTTGCAGAATTTCCAACTAGATGAAATAAATTTGGACAGGCATGCATTGGATTTTCCTTTTGTTTTTCTTCACTTCTTGACAATATTCTTGTTTTTTTCCTGATATTTGTATCCATAAGGGCTTAGGATTTAGTAGTAAACTGTATCTCTGAACTTATATATCTACGTATAAAAAAATGCACTGGATATTTGGAATTCGAGAGAAAAATGCATGCACTCATTGCTTTTCCTGTTTTAATTTCCTGTTTAGTTGTCCACGTTGACGTTGCCTTAAATTAATTGGAGGAAATGATAATGCAAAAATTGGGAAAAGGGAGTGTATGAAAGACTCAATAGAAATTAAATGGGGTTCAAAACTTTCGTCAATAAAGAAAAGAGGCACAAGAAATTCATGCTAAATTCAAAAGGGAATTCATCACATTGGGGTGATCGATTGATGTTCATCATTTCCTAACTTCTGGAAAAAAGATTTGATTTTTTTTTTCACACAGTCATCTCTTCTCCCACAAGACTTCCCTTTTAATCCATTGCGTTCTCGACGAACTTCTCTTTTAAAAGCTATCGTATACTTCAATCCAAGATGTTTCTTTTGTGAACTTTTTCCCACTACGACTCCCCTGCAAAGATGCAGTAGTCTGATTGTTTTCATTGAGTAATTTAGCCTAGCTAATTAATCATTTTGTACCCAAAATTAATGCAAGGAAGTCAACTATGTGATTGTACACAAGAGCATGCATGTACCAATATATACTACCAAATAACAACACAATCATCAAGAAAACTATAGATTAAGAGATGGATATGGAAACAAGAAACACTATACTCATATCTCTATCTCTCTTTCGATCAACAGAATGGCCTTGCTGTCCACTTCACAAACCAATCAATACAAGAGAGGAAAAAAATCAAAATAAAATCAAGAAAAAAAAATAAAAAAAACCAAATTAAGTGGATCAGAAGAGGGACAAAGAAGAAAGGGAAGCAGAAGGGAAACAATACTGGACGAACTCCTCTCTTCTCCTTCCCATTCTTCTCCTCCTCTTCTCCTCCTCGTCGTCGTCGCCGCCGCCATGACGACTCTGCGATGGAGCTTTGCTTGCTCCTCGCGCCCACGCTAATGGCGGAAATATATATAACATGGACGCGTCTCTCCAAGCCGCGGCAGGCTAGCTAGCTAGCTATACGTACGTACACGTACCACGTAGTACTCATCGGTTGTGCAGCGGGTTGGGCCCCGTCGGCACCCGCCGCTTCTCGTCGTCGACCAGGTCGCCGCCGCCGGGCCGCCACCGGTGCCCGAGCCCGATGCCGACGAGCCCGGCCACCACCACGTCGAACGCGCTCCTCGGCCTGACGACGACAACCGCCGCCGCCGCCTTGGCCGGGGCCGGCAGTGGGCGCGCCGACTCCGCGCACGCGGCGGCGAGCAGCAGTAAGCAGGCGACGACGGCCGCGCGAGACCACCGCCTCCTCATCATCGCGTCGCCGACGACCTTCTTTGCCGGTAAGCCCGGCAAGCTTAACGAACACGAAGAAGAAGGTGCGAGCTAGCTAGGTAGCTAGGTGGAGTGGAGTCAAAGTGGGTAAAAGATGGGAGGAGTAGCAGCAGGGATCAGTGGTGGCAAAGGTTAGTTCTTGCAAGATTGCCATTGGGTTTTTATGTAGGTGGGGGTGGTGTACTGGTGTGGCAATGCAATGAAATGCAGTGCAAAAAATGCAAAACGCAAATGTGATATTGGGAGCAAAGGATGGAGGATGGGCCAGTGGGGGGATGCCACCAAACCGCATTTAAGGATCTTCAATTCTCTGCTCCTCCCTGCCACTGTCTCAGCTGCTGTGTATAGAGAGAGAGAGAGAGAGAGGGAGGGATTGGTAAAGAGAAAGAAGAGAAGGAAACACCCATACACACAACTACACAAAGGCCACTTTCTTCAGAGCAAAAAGGTGGGGAGGAAATGGAAAGTTTGGTGAACAGGGGCTCCACATCTCTATTTCTCATCCAGAGCTGGATTCAGTATCTCACACAATGGTAAAAAAGGTGTTCATCTTTAAGGGGATAGCTGAAATTGATAGGTTGATGGATCATATGATTTTCTATTAGCTATTTAAGTGTATAAACAAATGAATTAATTATTACTTCCTTCATCCTAAAATAGACATACCCTAGCATCAATCATCCGGATTTACGCCGTATATCAACACTATCATTCAGAGCAGGGTGTACGAGGGATATATCTAATCTAATTCTATATTGCTATATTTTGATACGGGAGGAATAAGAAGTTGAAAAGTTGTTTTACAAAAAAAATAGATGAAAATTTGTATATATATATATTTTTACATGAAACATATCGATTAGCTAGGGAGACTGCGGAAACAAAAATTCAGAATCAGAAAAGGATAGGATCTAACAGCAAGTTTTCTCCTCCTAAGTGCTCCTTTGATTTGGAGGAAAAACATAAGAATTTTGGAGGATTTCAATCCTATAGGAAAAATTTCTATAAATGCCTTTGAATCAAAGGATTGAATCATATATAGTCCTTTGAAATTCCTATGGAATGGATAATCCTATAGAGATTTTGGAGGAAACTTAGCAAGAGCTCAAAGCTCTTGGAAAATTTCCTTCAGTCTATCTCCCGATTCCTTTGTTTTTTCTATGGTCCAATCAAGCGGTTATTCCTGTGTTTTTTCCGTGTTTTGCAATCCTATTATAACCATGTGTTTTTCCTATTTGTTTTGTTTTTTTTATTTCTGATATTCAAAGGGGACTTAATATCAGACAACTATTCCATTGAATATGTCTATGAACAATGGTAACTAAAATACTTGTGCTTATCTGTTCATTTTCTTATGGGCCAATTCCCTATATGCCCATGTAATTTCACCCAATCCCTTCTACGCCCCTGAAATTTGTTTGATCTCTTATATACCCCTGAGTTTTTATTTGGATCCCTTACATACCCATTCCGTTAGTTGACCATTAGTTTGACCGTTAGTTATTGTAGAAATTACTTTATTGTCCTTGTTATATTGTTAAAAGCTAGAAATGTTTTATGTGTAAATTATTTGATTTGTGAAAACCAATAAGGAATAAATTACTAAATATTTGTGATGAATTTTTGAAAATAAAACATTATTTCATTAAAATAAAAAAAGATTTATTGTAAAAAAAAGTTCTGCATAAGATTTGAAAATTACTTTTCAACAAATATTTAGTGAAAAAAGATTCGTTGTGAAAAAACAAAGGGGATATAATTAGTTTATCACAAATTAGAAAACAAATTTAAAATTTTTAAATAAATTTCAGATCAAATTTGATGAATTTCGTATATCTTCCCAAAAATTTAAACCTAAATAACATTTAGTTTTTGCTCTTAATTTTCTGGTGAAACTAATGTATGGATTTAATCATAATTTTTAAAAAATAAAAAATAATAAGTTTTATTTTTTAAGTTGGGCATTAAATGATTATATTGCTTGTATTTTGTATAAGTTTATTTTTCATATGAAAATTTATTGGGTAGGTACCACACATATGTATAGGATGGGTAATATAGTCATTTTAAAATATTTAACGGTCAACTAATGGTCAACTAACGGAGATGGGTATAGAGGAGATCAAAATGAAAACTCAGGGGTATATAAGGGATAATGTCAAATTCAGGGGTATTGAAGGGATTGAGTAAATTTTCAAGGGTATATAGGGAATTTTCTCTTTTCGTATCGATCGATGTAGTAGTAGTAGTAAAGGCTGGGTCGTAATGACTCCTGTGGCTAAAACTATATCGCCGGTGCATGGTCAAAACAAGCTTTCAAAAGGCCCTGCCGATGGTTGCCACAATGCCACATGCCCCATGGGCACTTCTCACCACTTTTAGATGCCAATAAATATACAAGCATCATGGTTCATAAATAGAGAGAGAGGTAATGCCACAGACAAGGGTTTATGGCCATCCCGGCCGGTTATTTTGCTTCTGGTACAAGCCTGTTACTTCTTGTATCCAATCCAGCAGAGATAGAGAGAAACACACACACAAATTCTTGCATGCATATGCTCCTACATGTAGTAGACACAAGTACTATCACACCTGGACAATATAGCAAGCACAAGCTAAAAAAAAGGGAGATGTGTGTATATTAAAACAGGGGACAAAAACGGGTCAGCGAGAGATGGGCTGTGCAGCTGATGAGCTGATGAAAGATTGCACGGTGTGAGTGCGACAGCAAGCAGAGAGGAGTAGCTAGCAAGCAGCTTGTTTTGCTAGAGAAAAAAAACAGAGAAACCTTCCCCGTTTCCTCCTCCTCTGGGTCGTTTCTGCAGGCTTTTGTAGGTGAACGAAACCAACAGCAACCATCCATGAGACGACCATGATCCATCGGTCCCTGTCTCATTCTCCCATCGATCGATCCAGAACGTGCCATACAAGATGAGAACAGCTGTGCCATACAAGATGGATAGTAAAAGGACAGTATTCATCGAAATTTATCTCTCTCTCTCTCTCTCTCTCTCTCTCAAATAAAGTTAAGTTTGGATTTTAGGTTTGGTGGGAATGTATCTTATGTCTATACATATCTCTAGAACCTTTTCATATTAGAGAATTTTTAGATCCGATTTTCACGAATTTTTACTTATTGATGGTTTTTTCATCTGCTCTAAGTTGGACATATATATTTTTTTATTGGAAAAACACCGGACATACTCCCTCCGTAAAAAAAACACAACCTAGATAGGTAAGGATGTGACATCTTCTATGATAATGAATCATAGCCCTTTATTCAGATTTATTATACTAGAAAATATCACATCTCCTCTTATGTTTAGTTTTTTTTTTTGACGGAGGGAGTAAGTATGTAGCGTTGGGTTGAACTTATCAGTTCATTCAGTTGGTACTAGCTAGTACATTATTTGCAGGCTATTTTACTGGCAAAAGATGCAATATGCAATGCCTACTGTTTGCTGTATATGTACAAGGATTTCCTGTTACCTGGTACACATATGTACAGTGGTACTACTATACATGTACTGTACGTGTGTATGAATATGTAGGGTTTTCTTTAGCTAGTGCCTAGTTGTCCATGTCAGTGGAATTGATTTTAGCTAGGTCAGCCCTGTGGTCTAATCCAACATCAAGGTGGAGCAAGCGGTAGTACTCGTGGCATTTTGCTTTGTAAATGTGGCTCTAGTACGTTTTTGACCAACCAAACCACTTACTGTGTGCTGCAGTGCTGCACTGTTAAGATAGCGTTAGCAACAACATGCATGCAGTGTTCAGCTAATCCAGAAGATCTACGGGATTCCATGGTGTCTTGTGATCTTTTGGGGTTATTCGTTAGATTTTTTAAATATATTATTTACTCTAAATTTTGAAAAATACATTTTCTAAAAAACTTTCTTCTATTGTATTCTTTATATATAATATTTATTTTAATTTATTTGTCAAATTTGAGTTTCAATATTTTTTTTGAAAGGATGATTTTCAAAATATTTGATTTACCTCTATAATATGTAGCAATAACACGTTCGACGATCTAAGCCTATTTGGTAGGACTAACACCTAAATTTAATTTCATAAGTTAAATTTGAAGTGAAGTTGTGAAACTGTCTAAACTCAACCACATCTCTAATTCATTTTGTGAGAGTACTCTAACCAGCTCCACTCTTATTTGGTTGGGCTTCAACTCTAAGATAGATAAATAGAGCTGAAGCTGAAACTGTATCAAATAAACCCTAAATCAAACGGGTTGAGCTAGTTAGTCATGCCACTCGATTGTTTTAGCTTTCATTTATATTCTTATGAATATGTGGAGAGTCTATGTATTATACTTTGTATATTACCCTTATATGCTAGGTACTCGTGCATGTGCTAAGGTATGATATTAGGTACCTGCTAATCAAAGATGACTATGACCACAATGTGTTATCCCTTTCAAGAACCTTGAGGACCCATACATAGACAAAGCTAGGATTATTAGATATGATCACCAAGTAGTATGACAATTCTGCCGCCGTTTTGTGTGTCAGCTGCCACATTATACCGTACCACAGTGGTACCTAGTACGTGCTGATCATTTCGATTGATTTGGGGCCAGTAAATCTCTTTTGGTTAAATGCATCTTTATATCATATCTCGTACATTTATTATGATCATCTTTAATTTGCACATTTTGCGTGTCTTCTTTTTGGTTGTCGTCTTGTCCTTGTTATGATCTTCTAAATGCTGAATATATAAGCAAATTAATTAAGGGACGGAAAGTACGTAAAGAGTACACCTTAGAGCGATAAAAAGAAACCACGCCTTTATCTCTATATATGATGGCAGAAGACAGAACTGTAATCATCAATCCCATCTTTTTAATGGTGAACTGTGAATCTGTGAGTAAATGTGATCATCAGTTAGAAAATGAATATCTAAAGCTCGGGTTTTTTATAGGCCGGCCTGCTTAATTGAATCTACATGGGCCTAGAATCGAGGGGCCTAATGTCACTGTTGCAGAGACGACCCAACTGCCTGGCTGTGAAACATAGGCTTAATTCATTTGGTACAACGTTTTCTCCCCTCTATTTCTGCAAAAACCGAACCGTTTCAATTTCGTTTTTAGGTGACTAGAAAAAATGCCATGCATTACGACGGATGAAGGCTATTTTAGTTTTATTATCACTGTTATACGGTTTAGTTAGGGTGAAAATCCTTGTGGGAATTTGCTTGGATATTTTTTTTGAAAATCATAAGTTATAATTAGGAGTCCAACTCTTATCTCAATTTAGCATGCAAGTTTTTTTAAAATAATTTTTATACGACTCCTTTTATATTTTTAAAAGTGTCCCGAGTTAGCATGCGAGTTTTTTTTA